CCTAATTAAGGGCTGATGTAACTCAAGGTCCAAGTTAATATTTTAGTTTTCAATCCCAATACCATTACGCTAAATATTAAATAGGTAGGATGTTTTATATAGGACCTGGTCCTAAATGCGGGTCGATACAGTTCATTCTCAAACCTCACGTTTCAGTTTATATGTCGATATCCTCCGAGATAAAAATGATTACAACATACTATGTGGGGTATGAACTGAAAATTTCGTCTACCGAATAACCCCCTACTATGGTGAAATACAGCTATATGGGATAACCACAACACCCGGAAAAAATCAGCTAACTATTTTAAAATAAAAAGGGGGTTATAAGGGGACTATCCCAAAAAGGGGGTCAATATTATTAATTTTTGGTTGGGAGATTTGTTACAATATACGACTACAAAATACCAAATTACAGCGAATTCGGTTGAAAATCGTGCTCAAGAACCGCAAAATACCGAAAATTGGAGGGTACCCTTATATGGGGGCTACCCGAAAAAATGGACCTATATTTATAATTTTTAGTGGAGAGATTTCCTTCGCTATAAGAACTCAACGTACCAAATTTCAGTGAATTCGGTTGAAAAACGGGCTCAAGAACCCCAAAATACCCATAATTGGGGGTACCCTTATATGAGGGCTACCCGAAAAAATGGACCTATATTTATAACTTTTGGTGGAGAGATTTGATACCCAACAAGAACTCGAAGTTCAATTTGGAGGTACCGTTAAATGGGGGCTACCAGAAAAAGTGGACCTATATTTATAATTTTTGGTGGAGAAATTTGGTATCCAAAAAGAACCCATTATACCAAATTTCAGCGAATTCGGTTGAAAAACGCGCTCAAAAACCCCAAAATACTGAAAATTTGGGGGTACCCTTATATGGGAGCTATGCCTAAACGTGGACCGATATAGCCCATCTTCGAACTTGACCTGCCTGCAGACAAAAGACGACTATATGCAAAATGTTGGCGCTCTATCTCAATTCGTTTAGACGCTAGAGTGATTACAACAGACAGACGGACATGCTAGATCGTCATAGAATTTTTTACAACTGATTAGAAAAGTCAAGCTAAATTTGTTTTTAATATTACCACCGTTATTCAAAGATTATTTAAAAATGTATTTGTAATCTATAGAATACAAATAGTTTTCGACGTTAACTATCCAATGTTAATAACTTTAGTAGGGGCAGCGAAGCGCCACGGGTTCAGCTAGTATTATATATAAATATTATCGTTTGAAAATATATTTTGAAAAATGCATAGAAGGTCCTCTGACAAAATATTTTAAAAAAACAGAAAAGTTTATAACCTTTGAAATTTCCAAAAAATTCAAACTGAACATACTTTGAAAACATACATTTTTAGCGAATCAACCAATTATGGTTTTGTGGAAAAATTTACTTTAAAAATATTTGTTTCATAAATTTACGCTTTGAAAACTTGACCATTTGATGAGCCCCGGAGTTTATGGGCCTTCGGGAAAATGTATAGGTTTGATGATCAGTTAAAAAATCGTTTAAATTGCCAAATAATGTTGCTGCTTCTTTAAAATATAAATTAGAGGATGACCTTCAGTAGCTTATTCTTCATGAAATAAATTCGTAACACCATAATTCTAAACTAAAACTTGACCTTCTGAGTTCCCCATAAGAAATTTTAGATAAACCGTTACCTACCGTTATTTGCCATTATTAAAAAACAATCGTTTTTATATATTTTTTACATTTAATAAATAATTTATATTTTATTTTTTTATATATTTATATCGAATAATTTCATTAAAAATACATATCATAATCTCATGTTTTATCACTTAGTAAAGTAAGGCACTTAATTTAGATTAATTCTTAAAGTATATTTATTTTATTGTTTATAATACTTATTGTAGCTCGATTTCAGACATTGCAAAAATTAGCTGCGTTATTAAAAATAAGGCGTTAACAATAATAATTATACTTAAAATAAATTTAAAATATATTATAAAATAGTAACATTATAATAATATGAAAAAGTGTAACTTAAAATAAAACATTGATATGTTTGTGTATTCGTTGGCTGCCATCGATTCGAAGTTAACTTAGAATGAATGTGTGTGTAATCTATAGTAAGAATAAGTTTGAAATCGTGCAAATTTTGAGCATTCGCTAAAAATCAAACAATGGACAGGAAATTTGTCTACTACAATATTTGTGGTAAATTGCGACAAAATAGAGGAAATTCCTGTATCATAAACATATACCAAATTTTGAAAACAGATAATAGCCCTTTGAATATCTAATTATAACTGTTGGTCCGTTGAAAAACACTTTCTACAAAAAATTCACGCTTTGAGGGCCCTTGAAAAAATATCCTATAACAAGTAAAAATTTCGCTTTTTATGCTCTGGAAAAAATTAAGACTCAAAAAAAAAAAAAAAAAAGTGCTACCTTTATATTAGAACCAGGCACGTACACAAAAATTTTAGCATGAAAAAAATATTCCGAATTCTCTGTTTGGAACTAGAAAGTGTTTTAACCTTGAATTAAGAAATGTTTAAAGAGGACCTACAATAAATAGACACAAACAAATGACTGAAGATTATAATGGAGAAGCGAAAGGACTTAATAGAAGACGAAATAGACAGGTCATTCTCTCTTTTTATGATTTCCTGACTCCGGGAGTCCATGGATACACTTCTGTATAATTTCAGTATGTGCAAAATCGTTCTACTAAAATGTGTCAATATAACGGCGCTCTAATTTTTTAGTGTTTAGAGGATGGACTTGGGTTGTAAATATTTCATATTAAAAATAAACAATTTTACTGTACCTTAATCGGGCACAGTTCCATTAAATAGCATTTTCTAATTTTGGCAGTAATTATATATTTGTGGTTTTCATTATGTGTTAATTTTTTCTTAAAACAATGATCGGTATGGGTACACATTTTCCAACCGCCTATAAATACTATTTTTGGTACTTTTGGGGATTTGGATACAGTTTATCTACCGAATTGGCAAACATTCCTTACTAAAAATTATCAGTCCACGATCAGGTATAGCAATCATATATTCTTTACCGAACATATTCGATATAATATATACTATAAGTCCGTGTTTCCACATAGTCTCAATAGAAATCTCACGCGTCTTCTTTGGTATGCCCTAGCCTATTTTTAAAACCTGAGGGTCTGCGTTTAGAAGTTCATTTTCTCCTGTTTGGTATTTTGTTTTCTCTTGACAGCCATTTTGTCCTCATATACAAATCGGGATTGATTTTAAGAATTTTGAATATCCATTCTACCAGGCACAGCATAATGACGCATTTACCTGTTTTTAAATACATTCCCAAGAATCAGCCCAAAAATTTGCAATATTTCAAACTCATTTCATTTTACATTCGATATTAAAATATATGTATGCATATAAAAGTAGTTTTTATTGATAGTTTATATTTTTAGTCTTATAACAAAATAAAATATATTCCTTATAATTAAATAAAATTTAAATTTAATAAAAACTTTATACATATAATTTGGTTTTCTTAACTTTTGGAAATATTGAGTAGTAAAATTCATGTACAGACTTCTTATTGTGGGTTTTCAATATTGTTTTGGTATAATTCTTATAAAACTAATCTTTGGATTATTTAGCTGTGAAATTTTGGTATTCATATTTTTTTTGGTATAGATACAGATATTGGGGAAAATGTGAGTGTGTTTATAAATTAAAGAATTTATTTAATATAAAAAATAAACTATATAAAAAATAAAAAAATTAACACAGGGCAACAATGGGGGAATATATTGGCTTTTAATTTAAATACATACATTTTAAAATATATAAATAATTTTAATAATATGAATTTTTAGTTAAATCAGGGAGGAATACTTTCTGAATTGGCGCCCAATTAAAAGGTAGCTGAAAACGTTGTTTTTATTAGAGATTCGAAAAAATATTACCTTATTTTTCAAAGTGGCGCCCAATAAATGATTTTATATTTTTGAAAATATAAATATTATTAGTTTTTTAATATTTGGAATATTTGCAAATGTGGCGCCCAATTGGAAGTCTGGGATAATTATTACTTTTGTTTGAAATTAGGTGTTCAGTGAAATATTACCATTTGTTATTACTATTTTCAAGAAAATTGTTGTTGCTGTTGACCTGTGTTGATTTCAAAATAATAATATTGGAATTTACAATTTTGTCGTTTTCTATATTAGTTTTGTAATTTTACATATTTACATTGTTTTGTGTGAAAATGAGTTCAATATATTTCTGTGTGTGTGTGTGTGTGCAAAAAATACAGAAAATCTTGTAAAAAGACTAGATTTTATAAAAAAAAATAATAATAATGAAAATTTTGTAAAGATTTCATTGAAATCTATTTTAGATGGATATTGAGTCGGTAACACTGAAAGAAATTTGAATTTTGTTGAAAATTAAAAAAATCGTTAAATGGGAATTCGGATACTTTGACTACACAATTTGAATCTGTTGATGTGTTTGAAGGGTTTGCGTGCACAAAATAAAAAGAGGAAATTTTCGAAAAATTATATAAAATTTTCAGAATTTTTCAAGTCATTATCAGGTTATTTGTACGCACCACCACCACCGCCTTATATGTTAGAGGTTTCGGATTTTAAAATGGGTTTATTATTAGAAAATATATTTTAGAACTACTTGTCACTGTTCGATTTTCTTTAAAAAATGTTGAATTATTTTTTAAAATATTCAAATTTCTTTCAGTATAGTTTTTTTATTTTGTAAAATTTAAATAAAAAATATCATTTTTAAATCTAAAAATAAAAATATATTTCTTAATTTATAAAAAAATATTTAACAATTATGAGTATTTACATAAATATTGGGTATACATATAAAAAAAAACAACCATAAGTATATATAAGAATACAAAATATATATAAAAACAATAATATAGGTTACCTTAAATCTAAAATCTCACCCTTTTTTGCCTGGCATGGAAAGGCCTAGTAGCTACCATTCTCTCTCTCCTCGCTTCTCATTTATAATGATAACGCATGGATTCGGCATCCGATTCTTCCTCATCACTTGATGAGGGTGGTGTCTCTAAATTCGCCACCGCCACATCCAGATAATCTTCATTACTCAGCAGCAATTTATCCAGGTTTTCCACAATTTCGGAAAATGTTGGCCTGGCATTGCCATCGAAATGCCAACATTGACGCATCAGCATATAAATATTCAGCGAACATTTGGCTGGTTTTTCCATACGCTGACCAGACATAAGATATGAGTACAATTCCTCCGCGGACATAATCGTGGGATATGGTTGGGCGCCAAATGTCATAATTTCCCATAGTAATATACCATAAGACCACACATCACTCTGAGAATCATAGAATTTCTCTTGCAACGATTCGGGTGCCATCCATTTTATTGGTAAACGTCCATTAGTATTTTTACGATAATAATCGGTATCTTGAATATCACGGGCCAAGCCGAAATCAGCAATTTTCATAACATAATCATCGGACACGAGAACATTACGTGCCGCCAAATCACGATGTATACAACGTCTTGAGGCCAAATATTCCATGCCGCGAGCAATTTGAAAGGCGAAGGAAATTAAATGCTTCTCGGTCAAATGGTGTTCGGGTGGTGTTAGATTTCCTTCCTTATCATAATCCTTAATGGGACGATTTTTATTGAGGAAATCTTTTAAATTACCATGCGGTGCAAATTCCACAATAACATAAAGGGGACCATTTTGCGAGCAACATCCCAGCAGATTGATAATGTTGATGTGTTTTCCAATGATTTTCATGACTTCCATTTCCCGCACCAAACTTGCAATATCGTCATCGGTGTGTCCTTCCTTAACCATTTTGACGGCAACAATGGAATTATTTACCTCAGCCATAACCACACGACCAAATGCACCCTCACCCAAAGTGGCGCCCAATATCAAGGTGTTACGTGGTATCTCCCAATTGGAATCCAGCGGAAATTCATATTCATTAAATGGTGCCGGTTCGGAATTGGAGCTTTGCAAAACTGTGGTCCGTTGTTTTTCAATTTTTACCACTGGCATTATCATGGCATCCATGGAACCTGAGGAATCTCCCGAGGCTGGTTTGTAAACAATAACCTTCTTCGTCCATTGGTGTACAGTTTCAATGCGTTGTTTCAGCAGCTTTTCATGTTTCATTTTACGCCAGACATAGTAGATAAATATGGCCAGGAGTAATAACATCAATAGGATAACCGTTGCCACCACCACCTCCCACAATGTCTGAGAACGTATAACCTTCGTGACCTTGGTCTCCATTGGATCAAGTACCCGCAAATATGCCATACTCATTGATTTGCCCAAACTGTTGATTTCCATACAGGTATACCAGCCCTCCTGATCCTCGGTGACATTTTCAAATCTCAAGACATCATCACCCTCCACCACAGTGGTATTCGGTGAACATGCCGTTGCATTGCACGGTGTAAAGGTCCAACTTTTGACACTGAATAAATCCGATAGAAATTTACAATCCATTTTACCGCTTTCATTGATGAACAAGGTGAGATTCTGGGGAGCCTCCAAACTGATGGGCTTGTGGTTGACACGATCACTGATATGCAACTTCGTGGTGTGATTAATACAACCCAAAGGATTGCACACTTTGCAGGTGTAGTAACCCGAATCGGTTGGTACCAAATCTTCCATGGTTATGGACCATTTAGTTTTCTTAACACGACCCATGTTGCGGGCAATCTTGGTGCCATTCAACAGCCAGGTGATATTAGGTTCCGGTTTACCCACCGCAGGGCAGGCAAGTTGTATAAAGCTTCCCGAAGGTTTGGGAAAAATATTCCTTAGATTTTTGGGATTTTTAAAGCGGGGCATAAAGTCACCTTTTTCATTGGGTGCATCGGGTTCTGTATCCGCACCACCTCCACCGCCGCCTCCATCATCATCATCGTTGTTGTTATTCGTATTCCTATTATCCCGCATCGAATCACTACGTTTTTGTATATCCATATTGGGTGAGGCATAGCCATAATCATCATAATCCATAGCTTCAGTTTGATAATTCCGCCTGGCCATAGCCTCCACGGATTGTATGTGCAGGGCAAAGAATGTTATTAGCAGCGTCAGACCAAAGAATAGACATCTTGGTGTTGTGAAAATTTTCATTGTTTTTTGGTGTTGTTGTTGTTGGTTTCTGCTTTTCAAGTCGGCGACGACGACACTGTGACACTTTGTTGTTAATGCCATGATAGGCGACTACTGAATGTTTGCCGTTTCGTCGTTTTGTAAATTATATCGGTTGTTGAACAGGAGGAGATTTTGTTCACCCTCCCGTGGTTTTATTTTTAACAGGGGAGTTTCACTCAAAAAGGCAAATGCAATGAGAGAGAAGATACAAGGAGAACTACTCAATATGAGTGTAGGTAGGTAGGATGTGTTGTGATCGTTCTCTTTGCAAGGCTACTCAATGATGAGAGAGCAGGTAGGATCTATTTTTATTGCCGCTCTCTCTTCCTGACTTGCTCTTTGAGAATTCGTCACAGTGTGTATGAACTATTCCACTCTCTCTCTTTTCTTGTGTGGGAATTTTATTTTACCGTTAGGAATTCTACCCGTTGCGTTGGGAATTTTATTGTACCGCTAGCGATCTTTGGTCCTCTCTCTCCACTGCTATGTGGGAATTTCAGCAAAAATAGGGTGTGTGTGAAATTTTGTGCGAGAATTGGCGTGATATGGAAATTTTCCGAACTGCTGAAATATATATGTTATTCGCCTCGGCTCTTTGATAAGAAACTTATTGGAGAATATTTTTGAGTTCCTCTGTGATGTCTTTTCTCTCTATCTCTTATATTGTAGATTGGTGTAAATTATTAGGAAGTAAGCTTCACGATCTTGGGCTCTTCTATGATAAACTTATTGGAGAATATTCTTCGGTTCCTCAGTGATGTCTGCCTCTTTCGTTCTCTCTTGGGGATTTTGTGAGTCGATGATGATAAAATTAATTTTTATGTCTCTCTCAATTCAAGGATATTTTCTTAATAAGGACGTGAGAGTGGGTGTTATAATGAGAATAATGTTCAAGGGTTTCTTTTACGATCGCTGGTTAATAAATTTGCCGAAAAGACCTCTCTTTTGGCATAAATGTGGGGGAGTAATTATATTTCTCTTGCCTTTAAGGTAGATAATAAGGGCGTGAGAGTGGGTGTTATGTTTTGTGTAACGTTTAAACCTCTCTCAATGCGTATGTGTAATATTTAATCCTCTCTGATTGTTTTTCGGTCTCAAATTTATTCTCTCTCTTCAAAATTTAAAGAAATATTGATATGGTGTTTTTTCTCTCGGAGTTTTTGGAAATATTTATGACTCTCCTTGGCAAATTGGATTTGACAAAAATTGGCCACTTTCCTCTATTCTTTGTTCTTCGTGGAAAGAGAAATGTCCTTCATTTATTATTGTTCGGGATTTTTGATATCCTTTATTTTTATGATGGATTCAGGATGCACCTCTTGTGGGTGTTTGACCTTTATATTTCGCTTGTATTGTTGTTGTTGCCTTACAAAAATGTCCTCTCTCTCTCAGAATTCTTTTTGCTCTTGATTTTTTGTTTACTCTAATTTGAAGTGGGTATGGAAATTTTTGAACTGGACTCTCCCTGTCTCCTTTTTCCAAATAAAAATATATGACAACTGTGTGGTTTGTTTTTTCGTTGTTGTTGTAGTTGTCACTGGTGTGGGTGGATGTTATGGTACTCTGTCATGCCACATATGTTGCAAGTATGTTTTCTTGTCATATAATGATCCCTTGTTTTCTGAGATCATTCACCGCTTGCCTCTTTCCTTGGTGACGGTGGTGTTTGTTGTTGCTAGTGTTGGTGGTAATGTTGTTGTTCTGATATTCTTTTCCAATGGGTAATGCACCGGAAATCCACTTTAGCAAAAGCAAGAAATGAAAAATCAAGACACACTCCACAGAAGCGTTCTTTTCTTATGCTGCTTCTAGCAGTTGCTCAAAATTTATGATACGATCTGTTGCTTCAGTTGTTAGTGGTGTTGTTTTTGTTGTTGTTGTTATTTAGGAAGCTGATGCCAATGCTTCTATTTGGTGATCTTTGGCAACATGTGTTCGTTTTGCTCTCATCTATATTTAAATTTCGTTATTCTTTACTTCAGCAGCAGGCAGCAGCGATTGATGTTTCTTCTCTGGTTCGGTTCGGTCGATCGGCAGCCCGAAGGGTACCATTAAAAAGCATAAATGTTTCTATGTCAATTGCCGCCTTTTTTCGTTTACTTATGCTTCCATTTACATCCGCCCCTCTGGATTATAGATAAACTCCTCCTCTAGTCTAGGGCCCTTACCGTTAAAAGCAAAGGTAAGCAAAGGAAACAGATCAATGGAATTAGATTGAAATGCTGCCGAACGGTTCGGCTAGGCCTTTTGTGAATGAATGATAGATGGTATATTGATATGACAACAAAACCACCACAAATGATGTTTTTTGATGTTGTTGTTGTTTCTGCTACTATATTGTCAAAAGTAATAATGATGACGATGTGGATGGAGAAAAATAATGATGAGGCTGGCAATCCGAATGCAGTTTCTTTGGTAGATAATGATCACCAAGAAAATGGAAAATTGTCACCAGATTTTGTGTTTTTTTGCTTTTTGGGTGGTTTTTCTTCTGCTGCTTTTCCAAATGTTGCTGTTGTTAATTAAGAATAACTTTTTTTTATATTCCGAAACTATCAATCTTTCTTAAATAGTACTTCTTTCAAAATGTTTTGGTGTCTCTATTTTTGGATTGCTTCTTTTGATGTTTAGTGCTGATAAATTTATAGGTGTTTGTTTTCACTCGTTCGTCCCCACTCTTTTTTTCTGCCGGTCTATTTCTTCTTCTTCCTGAACTAATGATGTTGTATTTTATTGAAGGTGTTCAAAATGAGATAATTTCGTTGACACCTTTCCAGAAAAAATGCATATGGACCGATACATTGATGTCGTTTTTCCGGGTTCGTTGAATAATTAGTATTTTTGTTGTTGGGCGTCCGCGTGTGTGTCAATTTTCAGTTCAAATCTGAAACCAAAGAAAGAGTGAAATGGAATGATTATAAATTATGTTTTTTTCTTTTGGAATTTTTCAAATGAAATGTTAATGGTAAAAGGATTGAAATTCTTGAAATTCGTAAAACAACTTAGTGGAAATTTATTGGGAAAAGTTAGGGTGTTTAGATTTATATGTAGCACAATTATGAGGGCGGGACAATGAGTTATGATTTGATCCAGAACATTTTAATAAAATAAATTTAGTAAAGGCGTGGTTATGTTCAGTGGGGCAGAACATGTATACCCTCCACCATGAGATGGACATACGAAGTACCTCAAACAAGCCAGAACTTACAAAAATATCAAAAATTGGGGATACCGTTATATGGGAAACAAAACGAGGATCCATTTTGTATAATTTTTGGTAGGGATATTTGGCAACCAACAAGAATCTAAAATATCAATTGGGAGGCGCTTCGGTTGAAGAAAGTGACCAAAATACCGAATAATAGGGATTCAGTTATATGGTGCCTAACCTGAAACATAGGAGAAATTTTTAGGGAGATTTTTTTACCCAATGAGAGTCCAAAATATTAATTTGCAGTCAATTGTTTTGCAAAACCCAAAAATTTAAATTTGGAAGATACGGTTATATGGGGGCTACCCAAAAAAGTGGATTACATATTTCATATGAGGTATATCGGTCCAGGTTTCAACATATAACGGTACCAACAAATATTCGGTATAATAGGTATTTTTGGCACGTTTTTCAAATGAATTGGCTGTAGTTTGCTACGATTAGAACTCATTGGGTATCAAATCTTGCTACCGAAAATAATCAAAGTTGGTCCATTTTCAATGTAGCTCCAATATTACGGTACCCCTATAATTCGGTATTCTAGAGCCTTAGACACGTTTTTGAACAGAATTAGATTTAAATTGGTGTTTTGGATTTACGTTGGTTATCAGATGTACCTACGGAAAAATATAAATGTTGGCTTATATGTCGGGGTAGCACCCAATATTCGGTATTTTGATGATATTGGGCACATGTTTCTATCCAATTGGATGTAATTTGTTATTTTGGCTTGTGGAAAATAGTAAAACTTCCTACTAAAATGCTCAATGTTGGTCCATCTTTTAGGAAAATCACCAATCACAAACATCACCAATTCCGGGTAGTCCCTATATTATTCGATATTTTGGGAGGTGTGGGCATGTTTTTTAAACGAATACTTAGAGCGTATTCGTTTGAAAAACATGATATATCAAATTCTTGTGGGATGTAAAATCTTCCTACCCAAAATTATCAATGTCAGGATACTGTATGGCATAGCTCCCATAGAACGATACCATTCCATTTTCGGTATTTTAAAGACTTTAACCGTATTTCTCAACCGATGGGACTTTAATTTGGATTAAGGGATCTGGAAGACTGACTTATATACAACCAGCAAGGATACTTCAAAAGTCGAACAGAGTCGACTATATGTTAGCCTTCACAATTTTGGATAAGATGCTCATATGTACAATATCGTTAGATAGAATAGAGATAGCATCATTGTAGGACCATTGAAATTGAATCGGAAGAAATTCACTGCATGAAGTACTGGGATATATGAAGTGAATTAAAACTGTCCGTACACATACCTCCATTTGCACAATTTGCATGGAATCGAACAGAAATATATGAAGGAGCTATATCTACATCTGAACCGAACAAAATATCGTGCAAATTATATAGAATGGGACTGAAGAATGTATGTGAGATATATTTAAATCTGAGTCGATTTCAAACTTAACAAAAAATCATACTAGACTACATTCCATAACTACTGCTAAATTTCGTGAATATTGAACAAACATAGACTCCTCCGTGCACCATTTACATAAAATCGGACGAAAATATATACGGGAGCTGTATCTAAATCTGAACCTATTTCAAAACCAGTGAGCGGAGCAGTATAGTCGGACGGGGCCGACCATACGATACCCTACACAACTGAGATTGGGCAATATTTCGCGATATTTGCACTCTTTTGACTTTTGACTGGGTCAGCAAATGTTACTAGGCGTTGTCCTTGACCATAACTGGAACCTCATGGAACATTTCAAATCGATCCGCGCTTTATTTCCGCCCTCCAGTGTGGTAATAGGTTATTAAATAATATCTGAATACGTAAGCATCTGTAAATATTTAAGTGTAA